TTTCTGTTTCGCTGGGGAAAGGTACGTTGTTGGTAAAATTCCTCCGGCTAACCTGCTGCATCGCGAGTCAATTGCAGAGGAGCCCACCATCCCGGGCCCGGCAAGTACTTTTGCGCTGGGGCGGACATCTTCCGCGCTCCCGTGCCTCTTATTCAGCAGACAATCGGTCGGTGTTCGGCGTGTACGGGACCTCAACCTTACTCTAGGTTGGTAAGCTCCATCGCTCGGATAGAGAAAGAGGTTGGCTTCCGGCGTACATAACGGATGACCATGCGGTGTGTAAGCAAAAAGTGCGGAAAGTTGTACCTGGGCTTGTCTGCTTTGGGAGGGTGTGGGTGCGTGGACTGCAGGTGCGGGGTGTTGGTCTTTGATCGCCAAGGTGTGGAACCCGTTGGCAAAATTGGAGCTTTCGCGAAGTTTCTTATCAAGCTGGTGTTGCTATTCTCGTGATCGGGGATGCAAGCAAGTTTCCTACGTCGAACATGCGCGAAAGACTGTTTGCACACATGAGCGAACAGTGGGACAGTTGTCAGATGAGTGTGAAGCTTGATTCATTATACTGATTTGAAGGTTGAACGCTAAAATGCTAACAAACTGCAAGATGGAGAAAAAGCAATAGACACCCCGCCATCTCAAGTGATCAATACGCAGTATTCGCTTTTTCGGAACATGGCCATGTTCTCGTTATGAATTTCCCCAAATGCATGAATACAATGTGGCTGCTCCAGCCTGGTATCTCTTTGGCTCCAGGCCTGTCGCTCATGCATGTGGTCGTAATTTCGTAAGTATAGGTTTCGCAATAAAAAGTTACAGTTGAAGTGAAGTCGGCCGTTATCAGTGGTTTTATCCACAATCAGGTTTGGATCGAGAGGAGCCTCCTGCGGACGCCGGCTAGGAATTCGGCTTCGTCGATGCGCTGGAACTGCGCCTCCTCCTCTTTTCCGTAAAGGCCGGTACTGCCGTAGGGTCCCTTGCCGCTGAAATCGACGTTCTGTGGCCAGTGCCCGTCTGACGAGACCTGCGCCAGCGAAAAGTCGCCATGGACGGACTGGAAGCCGGGCTCGAAGATGCACTCGGCGAAGAACAGCTCAACGTACAGTTCGCGAGGAATAGCACTCTGCGCGCGGAGGCGGACAAAACGACGGGCTTGCTCAAGAAGCTTCTGCAGGGCGTCGGTAGCTTCGTGGGTGGAGCGACCGTCCTCGTGCTCGCACAAATGCAGAGCACGTACCTGCAGGTCACCTGCAAACTTCGCATTGTCGTTGGAGAAGAGATGGGAGCACACGGAAGGAAGCGAGATGGACAGAGTCTCAAGCTTTGGGCAGTTCCGGAACGTGTCGCAGAGATGCTCGCAGTCGCTCGGCGATCCTGGATGCGGGTGCCAGAAGCCATCCTGTGACCGTGGGCTGTGCTCAAGGACCCGGAGCGTCTTCCGAGATGCCTTGACAATGGCCATGACACCATCGATGGTGATGGAGGAGTTGCAGGTCAAGTGGAACTCCTCCAGCTGAGTGGCCGTGCGAGCGATGGCGAAAAGATCATCGTCGGTGATGGGCATGAAGCTAGTGTCGCCAAAGATCTTCAGCCGCCGCAGCTGGCTGAAGTTTACCGACTGCAGTGGCTCCAGATCAACGATGTTATCCTTGTCTGTTGCTTGCTGCGAAGTCGGGTCGACACATTGGAGTTCCAGCGACTGGAGTGGTTTGCCGGTGCCAGTGAGCACAGTCCGCCAGGTCTTGGCGTCCACGTGACGGATGGTGGTCCATGGAAGAGAGAGCGAGGTGATGTTGGTGCAGTTCTTGAGGGACTGGAATACCAGACGGTCGGTCTCGGCGGTGTAGAAGCCGTGCACCCACATGCGCTTGATCTTGGCAGCCACCTGTGGGTAGTCGTTGCAGATGCTCACGGTCCGCTTAAGAGAGGCGAAGGGGTCGCGGTACACCGCTGTGCCAGTCGGACGGTCAATGAGCTCGTACAACGGGTAGCTCTCTCGCCTGTTGGAAAGTTCGGCCCATCGCTATGCCATGTTAGCACTGTGTCGATTGGGGACGTGTTGCTCTTGCTTACCTCTCCGCCCTTCCAGCGACGGATGTAGACGTCCTTGATGGAGTGCTCCAAAGCCCACTCGTGCCACTTCCAGCAAACGGATCGTAGAGTGGCAGTTGCGTCCCACTTAAGGAGCTCTGGCGGGACCGGGCCTCTCACATAGCGCTGGAGCTTGGCCCTCTCGAGAGGCAGTGGCGCCTGCTGGAGACCAAATGTATACGTGGGGCCATCACGTATATTGGCCTTGGTGACCTCCTCAAGGATCTGGGTGAGTACTTCGTAGGGGAAGTCGTTGATGTGCATTGAATGATCGACGGTGGTGACGGTAGGGTGACTCGTTGTCTGGTGGTGTGAGAGCAGGTGAGGAATCCGTGGGTTTATGTATTGGTGACAGGTTAGGCAGTTTTCCAAGAGTGAAGGCACTCTGGGACTCTTATAGTCAGGCAGCACCTACCGCAGAGATTTATTTGGACAAAGAGCACCGTGGTTCATTGTTAGTCAGACGTCTTGTGTCTTCCCCAGGTCCATGCACAAGCGCCAACGACTCGGACGCTGGGCCGACATGGCTCTGAGCTAGAAGGATCACTTCACAGCCCAACCGAGCCAATAGGGCAGTAAGCAGCACGTCGCACGCGTATAGTTTTGCGATGGAAAGTGGTTGTGAGGTTAGGTTCTCTTTACGTCACGGTGGCTTGGCGGGCTCGGGTTTGCTGGGGCGGCGAAGCAAAGCAGAAAATTGGCTTCACGTGGCTCGTGGCTGGCGTTTCGATTACCCCCAGGAAATTCAATCCGCAGGCCACCTGACCACCAATGACACATGGAAATCTCTGACGAGACCCTCCGACCATCTTTCATCATCCCCGTGCCTGCATGGCGCCTCTCTGCTGGGTCCAACCTCCGTTGCTTCCATGCTGTCGCGTCGCGTCGCCTGGTCGTGATGCCGTACTCACGCCTCTTCTCACGACATCTCGAGCGTGTGGCTTGCTGTGCCATATTACATCCGACGCACCGGGCACTTTCAACATCTCCGCTTCTCCAGGCGTTTACGGCTGCGGCTGCGGGTGTCGCCATCTATGTCATGTCTCGCACCTTCTGTCGTCAAACTGCCAGCGTCTTAGCCAACGTCCTATGCAGCACAGCACATACGCGACCAGCCTTGCAACACCCATTTCCATTGAATACGACGAATCCAGAACGTGCTGGATTTTCTTGCTCTCCATGCAAGGCACGTCGCACGCTATGCCATACGCACAACTCATGTCATGACCTTCACATCCAAGTGGATCGTGCAAATTCTCCTCCTGCATGGGCTCATCCTCCTGGTGACACGTATTTTCGGTCTGTTGCATGAGCTGGAGCTTAGGCCTCTCACCATCGTGTCCATCTGGGCTTATTTGGTAATATCTTACGTCTTCGAAACTTCCCCGCTATGCGACATCTCCACAACCAAGAATCGATACCGTTACGGGAACTACTCTAGCTCACCACTTGAGCCGAGCACACTACACAGCGATCCCCAAACAGCGGAAGTAATCAGGGTGCGAAGTGCTGACATTGATTAGAATGATGCAACCGGCATATTCGACGGGTGTTTGCGCAAACAAGCACAGCAGACCGTTCACTATATCGACTGTGCCTCTCCACAGCACCCCAGTGTCCATCTTCTTACCCCTAATTTCCTTTCTCGGTTTCTATGAGCTAAGGAAATACGCTACCCCGCAAAGATCTCAAAACCCCTGGCCAGCTCGCTTCCACGACGCTCATCTAGCTCAGAGACGATCACACCGGCAAGCTAGGCTTCGGGATAGGCATTCCGTTTCCACTAGAGCATCGGCTTTGCCTGTTATGCCGCTGCGAGCCTGCTCGCCCATGGATGCCGGCTTCGCTGTTCGTCCGGCTGGACGTGCGCCACCGATACCTAGGTAGTCACGGGGCTGTACGACTCAGCTGACATGGTCTTACCCAGCGCTAGGAGCCGCAACACCACCGAGCAAGTATCGTGACCTTCCTTTTTCGCCCCTGATTCAAGAGGTGCTTCATGCTGCCACGTCGGTGCCTCCCGGATGCTGAGTTGGTCTTGGTGTCCGTGCTTCCCGGTCGGTGCGGTGGCAGCGCATCAACAGCATCACACGACGTTCTGACGATCAAAGTAGTAAGTTGCCGTTCTGGTTCTGGTTGACAGCAACATGACTGAGCACACGTCGGGTGTTCCAATCTCCTAAATGGCCTTCAACTCCCTGTTGGCATCATGCTGGACCTCTAAGCTCGCCGTATCCTATCTTGAACAACGGGAGATGGCTCTCAGTGCTACCTCTCGCAAGACACGCCCATGTACGCAAGGCTTCATGAGAGCAAGCTCCAGAGTACAGCCCGACAGAACTGCGACTTTACTATCGCCTGTCAACCTTCAAGCCCAATGCTAGTCTCGAACAAGCTTTCGATCCTTATCTCGCAGCTATGAGGTCAAATGTAGCTCAAAACCACCATGACACGAGATATCTGCGCAACCTCGTATATCGTGCATCAGGACTAGCATCCGTGATGTAGTATCTTCATTCAAGGTATGGCAACACGAGATAGGGATACTGGGCTTTGGGAACACGAAAGAGCCTCATGTACACACGCTCCCGTCCTTGGTGTTGTATCACATGAGATAGGGACGCGCCGTGCGCATGTATTCACGGGGAGTTGTTTGTGTAGTGCATGGCCTTCCATGATGCAACCTGAGATAAGTAGATCGGATGTTGAGGGCGATTCATCCAAAGCACTCAGTCCGTAACATTCAAGGAGATGGGTAGAGACGCAAGACTATCATATCAATATACCAATACATAGCCACTTCTCATGCTCATCCATCACCGTAACAGAGACAATATGTCAAGTCTAAAAACACAAAAAAGGTCAATGGGGTATCTAACCAAACAAGCAAACCACACATTCCCCAAACTCACTCTCTACTCCCCTACCGCCGCCTCGCCCCCAAACTCTCCACGTTATTCGCATGAGCAAGCAAATACTTACAACACGTCAACGTATACTTGCACGCCTTCGTCCATCCCTCATCTTTATTCAACGCCAACTTGATACTCTGATCATGAATGCGATCTTTCTGTATCTCATACGGCATCTTGACGCCGCCTGGTGGTCCAACTCCAGGCGCTACTGGACTAACACCACCTACGCCATGTGACGACGGCGCAGCAGCAGAGTTCTCCACAAACTCACCCAATTGCCGTAGACATTCCAAAAACGCCACCATGGCCGTATCGAACTTTCGATGTAGAAACCCAAAGTTTATGGGAAAGTCACCGGAGGAGTAGAGTTCGAGTTTCTGTCTTGTTACTTGGGGTGAGTTGGCGCTTGTAGATTGGGGTTGGCGTGTTGATTCAGACACTGTGTTTCCAGTGCCGCCTTTGGTTTCGATACGCGTGATGGTCGATGTAGAGCCCATGGGACAGAGTTCGTAGCCGTCGAACTTGTAGTTTAGTCGGTCGGCTAGGGTGGCGAGGAGGAGACATGTTTGACCCCATGCAGCGTTGATTTCGGGCCAGTCGACGTAGGGGTTTGGCAGGCGGCCGAGGCGGAGGCCGTTGATGGTGGCGAAGTGGTTGTCGTGGGTTATGTTGAAGGTGTCGTTGTATACACTTCTCCTTTGTAGCTGGTTTAGAATCTGCGCATCGTGTGCATACCGCGTGGCTAGAGCGTCGCGGTCGTTTTGGATCGTGGTCAAGGTGGTGTTGAAGGCGTTTCTGCTCTTCCAGAACTCGCTTTCTTCTTGGTCGAGGATCCGGCTCTCGACTTCTAGGGCGGCGAGCTGGGCGTCTAGTTCGGCCTTTTCGGCTTCGAGGTTCTCGAGCTGCGTGATGGCGGTGCTTTCGGCTTTCTTGGCTGCTTTGAGGGCGGCTTCGGCGGCTTTGACTTCTTCGGCGCTGGGCACGTCGGTGTTGGCGCGGCGCAGGTAGTCGACGTATGCGTCGCGTTCGCGGGTCGCTACGCCTAGTCGCTTCTGAAGGCCTTCGATGAGCAGCTCGGTGCACTCTACGCAAATGGGGTGGTCGACATCGGAGCGTGCTGATAGTATCTCGAACATGCGGTTTGTTGTTTCCAGTGTATCGGCCAGACTTGCGCCTCCGTGTATGCCCAGTCCATTTGAGAAGCTCTTCCGTCGTGTCTTGTCATTCGCATTCGGCTTCGTCTCCCCTGCTTGTGATTTCCGATCTGGGCTACGGACGGCCGCAGAGGATGGGTCTATCATCGACTCGGACATGTGTACGTCGATGAAGGACATGGCGGGGTTTTGAGGGCCATTTGGGAGTGCGGAAGGCGGTGCGCCTTGGATGTTGCGCTTGAAGGTAGGATTCCGGGCGTCTTTGGCGGCATCTTGATATGTCTTGAGGTGTTCGGGCGGGTTCGGAGGGCGCGACTGGCGGTTCGGGGAGATCCGTGACGCTGGCTGTTGGCCTGATACCGTTGAGTCTAAAACATGTTAGTCTGATGCGTGATAGTCTACAAGATAGACGTGTACCAGTCAATAGCTTAAAGGCGGCCGGGTTGAGCTGGTCGATGGAGGCGTCGATGTCTATGGGCGTGCGACATTTCTGACAAGCCAGGGCTGTCTGTTTCTTGTCGATGGCCATGTTGTCATGAGCTGTTATTCTTCATGCTTGGAGAGAGGTCGTCTATTCCAAGGCGCTGACGGAATGACGGTTGCGGTTCACTGGCGATCACCTGCATGCGGGTGGGGCTGCCGCTAAGTGTCGGGTTCCTGCCGAGGAAACCGCGTCGCGTCTCGCTGTTCGCGTCAATCACAGCATCGCAATCACAAACTGTCTTACACACAAACGCCCACCACCCACACACCGACCCCTATTCTACACCGCCCTCACGCTGCTTGAGACACATGCTCGCTGCTAAAGCGCGCGGCAACACGCGCCATGGAACCGCCGGCAAAGCGCATGCGCATACTGCAATCAGTCGAGGTCGACGAAGACAATGCCGAGTACATCAAGGCCAAGCAGAAACAACAGCAGAAGCTCAAAAGCCGATTTGAGTCTATATTCGAGAAATTTGGAAACATGAATCCATCCCAAAGCGACGAAATCGACTTCAACACAAACAGCGTGGTTGTGGATAGAGGCCATCTGCGGAGACTGAAGCGTCGAGCCAATGGCAAAGAAAAGACGTTACTGGAATCTATCGTCATGGGAAATGAAAGCCAGTCGGAGGACGATGGAGATGATGACGAGGAATTGGGAGAAGGGGAAGATTCGGAGGACGAACTGGCACCCCCGCAGACGGTCAAGCCAAAGGCTGCTGGACCGCCTGAGCAAGACATAAACAAACAACAGACAGCAGCCACCGAGGCCAATGCGCTACAGCCTGCAATACCTCAACCAGCCTTCACAGCAACGTCCATGCCGCAATTCGGCATTCCGCAAACGCCCAATCCTTCGAACCCCACCGCAGACCTTCTACAACATCTTCAGTTTCCACAAACACCTGCGGGGCAGCAAGCACAAAACGCTTTTCACGCCAGTCTACTGCAGACGATTCATCAAGCTGTCAACCAAGCCGTAGCCGGTCTTGTACTGCCAAACGCTTCAACACCCTTCGCAAACGCCGCTCCTCCACCTATTACTCCGATAACTACAGATGACAAGGTAGCGCCTGCGACGGACCCGAAATGGTTCTTTCCACCTCTGTCTGCACAACCACGCCGAGTTCCAGTCGCCCAATCGAGCCCTCTCCCAAGCTATACGACAGCACCGATAGCGAAAGAGACAGGTCCACAACACTCACACACTACCTCAAGGGATGTCGCTGATGGAATACCCTGTGCCTCGATTCGTACAAGACCGGATGAAAGCTCACCAACGAGACCTCGTCGAACCAGTCCACGTGTTGAAATCCAGAGGCGCATCCCCAGGACTGCAAGGAGATATCACTTCACTCACGAAGATGATGTGTACATAAGCAAGCGCAAGAAAATAGACGGAGTTTCGTGGACGGTTATCAAAGAAGGTCAACAAAAGTGGAAGGAGTGGCCAATAAGCGCACTTCACAATCGCTGGAATGTAATCAAGAACCAAAATCTTCACCTGCAAGAGCCTGCTAAAGCTCCTACGGGTGGTCGCGTTGTTGAGGAGAGTCAGATCTCCAAGGAACACGATCCCGTTGTATCAAAGCCGCCGCACCATCTGCCGACACCAAGTTCATCCGAGCATGAAGATTATCATCAGAGCCTTGTCCGGTCGACAGAAGATGGGGTTCAGAATCTGCGTTCGTCGAGCACGCATTATGATGACGATGACCGCGATCTGCTATCCCTTGCTGGCAATGATTCTGATGAAGATCAACTCCCGATAAACCACGACGACGACAACGATACACTTTTAGACACATCAGGAGATGTGATACTGCCGTCCATCGAGACGAGAGATTTGATCGATGAAGATACACTACAAAGCGACTTGCTTGCAGACTTGCCAACGCAAGACGATATCGCAACACCAGTCCGGGAATCTTCTTGCATAGCAATAAAAGCCGAGCCAGCCTTCTCTTCGCCAACCACACTTCGAACACGGAAGCATGCAACGCCACTCGCCGAAGTAATACCCGATTCGCAACAGACCGAAGATGACTTGCAGACTGACCTTGTCCTGCCATCCCCTCACAACATCGAAAACAAATCCTCGGGAATTGCTAAGCCCGATGCAGTCCAACAATCAAAGGAGCAAAACACGCATGCCAGCTCCCACCGAAGAAGCTCATCCCTCGACCTCATCGGCACCACTACCGAAGACGAACTCCTCCCCTCACCACCCAACCCAACAACTCCATCCTTGAACCGTTCCCACGAACCAGCCAGCCCGCGAACCGCTTTCCTCTCTACCACCTACCAAACACCCAAAGTCCGCAATACCGACGGCAGTAGCGACAAAGGCAGCAAATCCACATCGAAGGCCGACCGAAAGGCATTCCACAAACGGATCAAGAGGGAGTGGACGAGGAAAGGTACGCCGGCGAAGGAGAGTGCGGCAAAGAGAAAGAGTCTAGGGGGGTTGGAAGTGAGGAAACGGAGATGGGTGGATGTTGATGGGGAGGGGAGTGAGGATGAACTCGCTAAGTTTTGATCGTAGGGAGAGAGGGGTAGTAGCTAGAGCTGACAATGATGATGTCTTATCTTTGTATGAAGAAGTTTATACGTACAAAATACACCTACACATCCAATCCTTCTGTTGTCGATCCGAACACTGACTAGCTAGCTAGCATCGATTCTACCATGTCATATCTCCACCTCCCCATCCCTCATTCGCATCCTGTCCCCACGTTCCCACCGCTTCCTTCCCTTTCCTCTGATTTTCTCCCTCCCAGCCTACTTCCTTAACAGCCGCACTCTTAGCCTTTGTACTCGGATCTCTCGAATGCCGCTCAACCCACTGCTCCGTAAAGTCCCTAACCCGGCCATCGCCATGTGCATGCGTTTTTTCACTCGACCGCCTCTGCTTCTCTTTCTGTTTCTCCTTATCGACACGAGACTTGCTATGTTTCCTCTCCTTCCCACCACCAGTAGTACCCTCTCCATCATCGTTACCCTTCAACTTCCTCTCCAAAGCCAACATCTTCGCAATCAACTCCTCCTGCGGCACATGCTTCAACTTCTCTGCTTTCTCCTTCTCCGCATGCCCATCACGCTTCATTTCATTCTCCCCAAGTACACCCAGTCCTTTCAGTACCCCCTCACTCCGGTACTTGAACCGAAACACCGCATACGGCTTCTCCAGCCTGTCAAGATACTCAGGTCGTCCGACGACATGACCGTACTCCGTTGCTTTACCCGCGCGGACGGCGTGTTCGATACCGCTTTTGCTGGACGCGGATTTACTGATGGTGAGGCGCGGTTCGGCTGGTGCAATGTATGTGTCGTTTGAGGAGGAGGCGTGGAGTGGGATTTTGGGTGTAGGAGTAGAAGGGGGAGGAGGGAACTGCCAGTGTGGTTGAGCCGTGAAGTTTGGTGTGGGTTTGGGAATGAAGCGGGAGGGGAAATTGTGATTGGGTCGGTATCTTGAGAGCGTTTTGTTGCTCATGCGTTGGGTAGGTGATCTGCCCTTCTCCGGTGCCGGGGCTGGCGGTGCTGGAGCGGAGGCGAAGGGTGTAGGCGTTGGCTGTTGAACAGTGGGCTTTACGGCGTTGTCGGCGGGAAAGCTCCATGATTGGTTATGCCAGGGAACTTCTGGCGTTGGTGCTGGTGGGTTGGCGAAAGCGGATGTCAAGGCGGATTTGAGGCCGGCCCAGTCATTCATCTTGTCGACTCGCTCTTGTTTTGGAGATGATGGGGGATTACCCCAACCGTTGTCTTTCCTATTCCAGTCACTGTCCGCCTGGATCTTCTTGTTGTCATCTATATCGTTCCAGCCTCCAGCTTGATCTTCATCGGTTGAGTACCAACCCTTCTTATCGTTCTCCTTGAAGTTCTTTTCTTGCCAACCGTTCTCAGTATCCTTGCCCCAGCCGAGATTCTTCTCAGTTGCCTTGCCCCAAGAAAGTTTTTCAGTGTGATCGTTCTTGTCGTTACCCCAAGACGCAAGCGAAGGTGGTCGATTGCCTCCTAGTTTCTCACCCACAGTACTCTGAACAAAGTCTCTCATCGAGGGTGCATATGGAGCGGGGAACATGTTACTCGGGACGTTACTAGGCTTCCTCATCGTCTCATGAACAGCAGCTCCCCACTCTGGGGTAGGTATAACCGAAGCAGGTGGGTTAGTGTAAGCACTGGGCTGTCGTGATTGTACTTGTTCCGGGGCGACAGAAGGAGGCGCGTTCATCACTGTCGGTGTCATTCGCGTGATGACCGATGGCGCAGGCGCAGCGGCTGTAACTTCATCCGCAGGTCTCGAAGACGGGTGACGATGGGAATGCTTCGATGGCTTTCGCTCATGTTCTCGCTGTACCGACTTTGCACGTCGGGAACGACTCTTCGACCTCTGTCGTGAGGGCTGTATCCTACTGTGAGAACGCGATGGCTGGAGAGTAGCGTCGGAGCTACTCAGCGAGACCACAGAGTCTGAAGGCCGTTCGAGACGATCCCAACTCCCGCTGTCTTCTTCTGAAGAAGTGATTTCTCGATCTCGATGCGAACGTCTTGATCGCGATTTAGAGCGCGAACTTCGTTTCGTTTCGTGCTTCGAGCGCCGTCGATCGTGTTTAGGAAGAGTGACTGGGGAGCTAGGCCGCAGATGATAGTGATTAGGAAGATTAGTCACCCAGAGTTTTCCCTGTTGGCTGGAGGCGTCCCATTCAGCTGCCTTGTCCGTCGGCCAAGTATCTCCTGTGTCCCAGGCGTCGGACGGGGTGCCTTCCCGCGCGTTCCATCCGCTGACACTGGAGGAGTCGGTCTCGAAAGCAGGTTCAGCGTTCCAGGTAACATGGGTTCCTGCTCTGCTTCGTGAAGGTCGGTCGCCCCAGCCAGGCTGCGACTTGGCCCAGCTTGAACCGTGTTCGCTCTGGTGATCGCGCGAGGAGAAAACCTGCTGCTCTATGTGTTGATGTGGTTGTGTTGGAGCATCGAATGGAGATTCAGGCCACGCTCCTGGTGGCTGAGTTGCAGACTTTACATCGAAATCTGTTTCCTTGTACTTCGCCTGTCCTTCAGATTGTGTGTCCATTCGTCGCGACTCTTTCACTCCTTGCTTGACTGCTGTCGTAAGAAGATTGTTCAACCACATTGGATCCACAGCAGGAGGTTGCACCGCTCCAACATGAGGAGGATATGTGTCATATGGTTCTCCATCGCGCGGGATAGGACCGCTTCCGTACTGAAAACCTGACGGAGGAAGGTCGTTGGTGCGCCGCGCCCCCGGACTGATAGGCTCAGAGTATCTGGGATGTGGCCGCGAGTGGTGCGCAATAGGTGCTGGTGGGAAGAGCTTCTGTGCTTCGTATGCAGTGCGATGAGTTCTCGATGTCGAGCCTTGCGGGCTACGTACCGTTTCGGCATATGGGGAGCGATAAGACGGGAGAGGCGGCGGTGGGCCATGGCCACTTCCAAAGTTGCTGAAGAAGGGGCCGCGATCATCGTACATGGACCTCTCGTTAGATGGCGATGAGCTTTCGTCTACACCAAATCGGTGATCGGGAAAGTCTCCAGCTCCATCAAAGTTCATCGTTGAGGCTGATTTGGCATTGCGCGTACCGACGCATCGTAGGACGACGACTTCGATGCAGCCTATGTTGTCGAGAATGTTTGGCGAACATATATTCGGTGCATCGTCCGCTGAAGCTGTGAACAGTTAGCAGACCGCGATTCTATGAAGTCCTCGCAACACATACCAATGTTGAGCTTATCAAAAGCCCACTCCCTCGCAATCATCGACCCATCTTTCTGCCTCTCCTCCTTCTGCCTTACGCGAAAGTCGACAAGAGAGCGACTATCGGAAGGCTTCCGTAGCTTCAAGTCCTGCCTATTGCGGTTGCACTGGTAGACGCCGTCGACGTAGACGAAAATGGCGACGCCCGGAGCGATGAACTTGTTGGAGGTGAGGTGGATAGAGAAAGACTGTGGCTTGTTGGGTACAGGGACGAAGGTTTCTACGAAGCCGTCGCCGTATATGGTGCCAAACTCTCGCAATGCTTGTTGACTCCCGGATAGCTCGATGGCGCAATTGAGGTCCTTTAGTGAAGGCATGGTGGAATTGGCCTTCAGGACAGTTGTCGTGAGATTGCAGTAGGACGGAGAATTGCCTGGGATGGGTAGCAGAGGTGCTAAGCTGTGGACGTGGTGTGTAAAGTGAGCGCTGGTTGTCACAGCGACCGACGAGAGGTGAAGTGGTGGCGGAAGCTCGAAGAAAACCAGTTGACTCTGCACTCAGCCCGAGAATTAACGCGTACAGACCTCTCACATTATCTTCAGATGGACTTTTGGAAGAGGAAGACAGGAATTGATGTGCGAAGTGTCTTAGATGAAAGAACTTGCCATATATTTTACCTACGGACACCAGGGTGATGCGACATCGGCGCCCGATTACTCTACGAACACCCTACCTTCACGTTCCTCAGGCCACCGCATATAGCCATGAAAAACGTAGCTTAAATTCACGTGTGATCGAAGTGGTTTCGAAGCGCGCGCGATCTCGTTGGCTGCGGACCCTGTGCCCTTGGCTGATGCGGTCAAACATGGACATGCCGTCGTGTACACAGATAGTACTGATATGTTCAGCATTTGCAGAATACGCACGGGGATAGAGCAGGAACTTGAAGGGCATCAGTTCATTTGTTGTTCGTGGTGATTGACAGGTGGAGAAGGAAACGTCGGATGAGGATGCGATGACGGAAGTCGCGCCGGTCAAACGAGCAGGCACGACTTTCAGCCCAATTGCTGCCCAAGCCGTGCATGTTCGCAGAGCATCACTTGTATCGACTTGTATCAGTATCAAAGTCACCAACACAATCACCAGCCAAAAGTGCAAGCGTAGTTATACATCCTCAACTTTCAATTTCCTCCCTTCCACACACCCATCATCAGGTATGAAGGAAGAGACTTTGCTTGCTAGCTAGCTACGCTCGGGGATATCAACAGAGGAAAAGCCCAACCTATTCACAGCCTTTAGTAATCCCGAATCCCTTTTTCTTGGCCAAACAATGGAAAAGCAGCCGTGACCCAGATAGAGAGAAATGACACTGTCTTCCAACGTCAGAGATGAGAGAGCTTTCCTCTTTGCCAACCCTAGCCTAGCCCAGCCCAGGTACACCAGTACCGGTAAATTAGACTTTACGTACACATGAACTTCTTCGAGAGTCCAATCAAGATAAAGGAAAGGAAAGGAAAGGAAAGGGCGACCCATGGGTACACCGCACAAACGCAAAATGGTATAAACAAAGGAAACGAATGGAAAACCGAACCCTGAGAGACGAAAAAAAGGAAAGGTAGGTGGTACATCGACATGTCGAAGATATTCGATCAAAAAGGCGGTGGTCCAAAACAGGTAATGTCGCTGAAGCGCGGGGTGGCCAAAGTAAAGAGTAAGAGCGGCCAAGCCTATGCGCCGGGCAAAGGTGATTTCGTTAATATGGGGTATTCGAAAGGCAAAATGTTTTGACCTCCAAAGCATATGCTTAAACCCAGACGCCGTGCGCGAGAAGAGATTGTGAAAGGAAAGGTTCGTGGACACATGTACAAGGCGAGATGGTGGTGGGATCAAGCCATAGGAGGGAGAGGTTCAGCCGCGCTCTTCTTGCGGCCAAAGATGGTGCGAGTCCTGCTTTTGTCGCGAGCCTTCTTGTCTTTGGAGTGGTCTTTGGTAGCGGAACGACCTGATCGGACAGAGCGCTCGTCCGAGGTGGTGGAGCCGTCGTCCATGTATTTGTCTTTGTAGATCCAGCTGTTGCCCACCATGCTGACGCCCTTGGCTTCGGCTGCGCGATAGAACTTGGCTGCCTTCTTCATGTTCTTCTTGCAGCCGACGCCTTCGGCATAGCAGTAGCCGGCTTCGACGAGAGCATCGGCGTCACCCCAGTTTCCAGCGATCTCGTAGCATCGCAGTGCGAGGGACTTGTCTTGAGGAGCACCCCAGCCGTTTCCGTAGCATTTGCCAAGCTCGTAGATGGCTACAGCGTATTGAGCGCGGTGGCGCTTCTTCTTGGTGAGGTCGGTCGGCTGCCCGTGCTTGGATTGGTCCTCATCGTCGGCTACTTCCAGCTGACCGGAGTCAACGGCGCGGCGTAGCCATTGCAATGCTTCAGACTTGTTCTCACGCATGCCCCAGCCGTGACGGCAAGCGAGGCCATACCAGAACATGGCTTCTGGAAGACCAGCGCGAGCTGCGAGTCGAAGGTGATAGGTGGACTTGAGTAGTTCACCAGCTTCGTGAAGCTCCAGTCCCATGTCGCAGTGCTGCTGCGCTGTGACTTCCCCAACAGACCCGGCTGTCCGCGCGCGGATAGTGCTGTTGCTGGACGTGAGGGACGGGGTACCGTGGTCGAAGGAGGCATCCCGCCTGGCTTGTGGCTGTTGCTGGCGTGTTTGGTCGAAAGAACGAGGCGGTGATTCGGGTGAAGGAGGTCGCGCCTGAGTCTGGTTAGGCTGGCCTCCAGGCTGGTCCCATTTGATCTCGCGTTTGAAAAAGTCCTCAATGCCGACAGACTTGCGGTCGACGGCCCTGCCGCGAGGGAGGTTGAACCTGGTGTATGTGTAGGACGGGGCTGGGTTGTTGCCGAACTCGCCGGACCGGCGGAAGTCCTCGCTTACCATGCTGACGGGAGTGTGGACCTGCTCGTTGGCGTAGTGAGCAGTAGGGATATCGTTAGAGTCCTGTCGGCGGAGCTGGTCGTCGAAGGAGGGCCTCATGTTTACGCTCTCCTCAGACGGCTGTCGCGAGGGTCCGGCATCTGACCTTACGTCCAATGACGGACGCACGCTCTGCCGGCTTGTGGGGCGTGAGAAGTTGGGTCTTGAGAAGTTGTAGGCAGGGCGCGGGAGACTGCCGCCATCGACCGAGTAGTTGGACGCAGCTGACGGTGATCGGGGAATCATGGTAGGACCGGTGGCAGGCGTGAAGGGAGACTGGGCTCTCGACAGGCTGGAGCTGGGAGACAGGTTGCGCGTCTGGTGCAGGGAGTCGTAGGATCCGCTGAGAGACATGTCCTCGACATCGTCGTATGCGCCAGCGGCGGAGCGGATGCTCGGTGAGCGGTTCGAGTGCAGAGAGCTGGACGAGCGCGGCGGGAGCAGGTTGGAGCGTGGTGCCGAGCGGGGCTGCGATTGTTGCGAGTGCTGGGAATGCTGCGAGTCGCCAGAGCGCTTCCTCTGCGGGCTGAGGAACATGTGGGAGGTAGGAGCGGCCGGGAGATGGGGACTGACGGGCGTGGCCTCGCGCAGTCCGATGTGCGGCTCTACCGAATCGGGGGAGCGCGACCTGGGGATGTCGAAGTAGCTCTGGGGAGGCGTCGCAGGGCTGGCCTCAGCGATGGTGGCCATGGGACTCTGCAGCGGCCCAATGGCATACTGGGGCTCGGGCTCGTCCATGCCAAACTGCGGGTAGTAGGACTGGTGTCGCTTGTCGGACGATATCTCCTGGCGGGGCGAGGCCTCGGGGCGCGGGGAGCGGACGGGGCCTGCATCTTCGTTGGGCGAGTTGACGGTCGAGTTGGAGAGGGACGAGAAGTAGCCGCCGCGGTTGCCGAACTCGTTCTGGATGGTGAGGGGCGCGAGGCGACTGAGGCGGCGGCCCGTCTTGTCCTGCTGCTCGAAGCGCTTCGCGAGCAGGCGGCCCTGGAGGGCGAGGGCGTCCAGAGGGGAGAGGGCGGGCGGCGCTTCGCCGGTGCGCGGGCTGGGCAGGTCGGAGCCGAGGGACAGATTGCTCATGCTGGCGCTGGCGAGGTTTCCGAGGCCGAGGTGGTTGGAGGTGAGCGAGTTGGCGGTGGTGGGAGGGTCGAAGGACTGAGAGCGGAAGTCGAGGCCGCCCGGGCGTTGGGTGCGGTTTGCCATGGTGAAGGAAGTGGCAGGCGGGCTAGTGGTTCATGGAATGTGCGGCGGAAGATTGATGACGCTGGGCCGTCATGCGCGCGACCGGGCAAAAGAAGCCGTCGAAGCCGCCTGGAGGGATGAATGCGGGAGACACGGGGCTGAGCAGCGCGTGCGGGAAAAGCAGCCGTGATAAGAGCGGTGGGTGGTATGGGGGGTATTTTGGGAGGGCGTGGATGCAATCGGCACCATGAAGAATGAAAGCAGCGCGAAGGAGCGGATACGACAGCAAGCGTCGAGAGATCAGTGATGGACTGCAGGCCCTGAGCAGTGTCTGGGGCGTCGCGATGTTCTATGCTGCCTCGCGTGCAAGAATAGCTAAACCTACACCTCCTGAAACCTCAGGTGGGCCGGGGATGCTCCCTGCTCGCCAATAGGGTCCGCTACCACCAGTCGGCCCTGCATCGCGACGACGTTGACCCACCGCGCCGTCGCCCTGACACGCAGCCACTCGATGCACGCACGCATGCACACTCATCTCTCGCGGGCTGACAATGCCATTGCTTTTCACATCTCCATGCTCCCAGCTACCAAACTCTCATTTCCTTCACCCACTTGCTATCATGTACACCATCGCCTCGAGCTGCCTCCTCCATTACCTCCCCCAGTGCCGTTTCACTAGTCTATCCGCACGCCATCCGTATTCCCCTCTCGGCCTGCCTCCGTTTCGGGCGCTGGCCGTCAATAGGGTGGCACATGCTTCGCGTCACTTCATTTGCTCATGGCACTTGTGGAGCGGAACATGTTCCAGACTTTTGCTCATTTAACTGCTGCCCGTCCTGCGAACCACTGTTCCTGCAACGCTTCACGTCAAGAGCGTGCTGTTTCTGCCTATATCGCCGTGGCTATATACTGCTCGTCGACTGGATTCTCTGCGTGCCTGCAAATCTAACCATGCAGGGAACACTCGCTGAGACCCGTGCCGGCAAGGGGCTCAGGGTCTTTTACGTGATGCCATCTGCCACTACGCTCGCCCTGCGTGCCCGTCCTTGGGCCAATACACCATCTCAATCTCGTGATCTTGCAGCGCCGGGCGCGATCTTCAGGTCACGCCGATGCCACGCACTCCCGCAGGCACAGTCCGTCTATGACGTTGCGCATCGTGATCATCTTAGTAGTTCTCCACATCGTCGACTTGTTGTCTAGGTTCTGGGGTCCATCGTCTA